GTGGAGGTGTGGTGGAGGGTGTGGTGGAGGCGTGGTGGAGGCGTGGTGGAGGCGTGGTGGAGGTGTGGTGGAGGCGTGGTGGAGGTGTGGTGGAGGGTGTGGTTGAGGTCGTGGTGGAGGTGTGGTGGAGGTGTGGTGGAGGTGTGGTGGAGGCGTGGTGGAGGCGTGGTGGAGGCTGTGAGAGGTGATCTTCAGGTGCCTGTGACTCAAAGGCTGCACGGCGCCAACATTCGGTACGGAGCCGTTCCGTGGAAATACAGGAGCAGGCCAGGCGCGCCGGGCCGGTGGTGAAGGCGCAGCAGGCTCTCGGGGGCCTGACCCGGTGTCCCCGGAGCCGTGGCCCGGCGCCCCGTGACTCCGGGTCTGAGATCCCAGGCTCCCACGCGGTGGCTGAGCCAGCTGGGGCCGGGCGGCAGCCCCAGGCAGTGGGGCTCACACGGACATGAGCACACGCTTGACGCTCTTCTGATGTCGTGAGGGAGGAGACTCTAGTGGGGTCCGGTCTTGTTTCTCAGCCACAGGTGCTGGAAGATTCTCTTGTTCTGAGGGTCCACACTGTTTGTTGGGGCGCTGCACCTTCTCACAGCTTCTGAGGCTCGGGGCTCAGGCTGCGCGTGGCAGGGCCGCTCTGTCCTGTGTCTCCTCTGTGCCTGAGGGGTTAGAGCGAGCCGTCCCCTGAGTACCGCAGACGCCCGTGCGGTTGGCCTGGGCGCAGAAGCGTGCCCGAGAGCGGCGGATGCCGGCGTCTCTTCCCTGATCGCAGGCAAGTGCCAGCCGCTCCATCTCCAGATCTCGTCAAAGTCCAAGCTGGGGCAGAACCGCGGGTGTTTAAGTGTCCCTGCCTCCTCCAGTGCCGGAGGCGCTGGCGCCCTCAGCCACGGCCACATCACAGCCACGTCAGCCCACGGCCACGCCACAGCCCACGGCCACGTCACACGTCACAGCCTTGTAACAGTCACGCCACAGCCGCGTTCTCCTGTGTCCCCACATGCTCTCCCTCCGTGCCCTCTTCTGCCTCTTACAAGGACACTGGCGGCCAGATCTGAGGACCCTGCCGCAGGACGGCTCCACCTCGCCCGTGGCGTGCGCCCCACCCCCACCCCATCCCAGCGGGGCCCTGGGACGCCCAGTTGGCACTGTGCTCACCTGTCCAGTTGGCACTGTGCTCACCTGTCCAGTTGGCACTGTGCTCACCTGTCCAGTTGGCACTGTGCTCACCTGTCCAGGCACCTCCTGTAGTCCGTGGTCGCCTTGAACCCCATGATGGAGAAGATGGTGAGGGACGCGTACAGGGAAGTCAGGCTGTTGACCAGGCTGATGATCACAGCATCCTTCTCACAATTGTTCCTGGGCACAAGCGCAAGTGCATCACCCACAGTGTGCTCAAGCCCGCCCGCGTTCGGAGACATGGGGCCTTTCCCTCGACCCCCAGCCGGGTCCCACTCCGAGCTCAGCCTGTGGGTTTCCCAGCCCCTCCCAGCCCCTCCCAGCCCCTCCCAGGTTCCCAGCCCCTCCCAGCGTTCCCAGCCCCTCCCAGCCCCTCCCAGCCCCTCCCAGCCCGGTCGCACTCCGAGCACAGTCTGTGGGTGATACCTGAGCCCCCAGGCCTCAGCCCCTCCCTGTACTCCCTCCATACAGCTCACTTCAAGGCTACTAAGGGTCTGAAACTGGAGAGGCCCCAGGCAGGGCAGCAGGAGGCTGAGGCTGGGTCCTGTCTCAGAAGGGCACCCTTGCGTGTGGGCTAGCGAGGGGTGGTCCCAGGTGCTCTGAGGCCCTGGTCCTTGCATCTGTCCCTGAAGATGGCTGGGGACGCGGCTGGCCAGAGTCCTCCCCGCAGCCGCAGGCACCCACCCACCCCTCAGTGGACGGAAAGGCTGCCGACGGCAGGTGCTTCCTGGGTTTAAAGTCCGTCCTGCTTCCTGGCTGGGGATGTGGGGTCCTGTGGGCCCCAGGAAGCAGCCCCGCCTCTGATGGGGGCCAGCAGGGTCAGCACACTGTGTGGACGTGGCTGTGACCCTTGTGCGGAGGCATTCCTGCGAGTGTCATGCCCATGTAGGGCGAGAGCGAGGACCCCGGCTGCACCGTGGGCCCCAGAGGCTGCGCTGGAACCCGGGCAGGAAGCATTCCCGGGGGACCTCGACCGGCAGCCGGCCGTGCCGGTGCCACCCTGATGACCAGTCACCGTGGCCAGCGATTATTGCGTCAACTGTCTGCCTCCAGTAACTTCCCCTTGCGGAGCCCTCTTTGAACCCGCCCACGGTGGCTCCTGGCCTCACGTTTCCCTGGCACTGCTCTTTCCAAATGGACACTCTTGTTTGCAGAGTGTTTCTGACGGCTTCCTGGGATGGGCAGAGCCCTGGGCCTGGCTGATGAGTGACTTTCCCCGGGAGATGCTGGACGCCGCCAGGCCGCCCTGCTGTCCTTGGAGACAGCTGGACCCCACGGGGTGCCAGGCCCAGCACCAAGTTCCCGCCCCACGTTCACACAGATTGCCCTGGCCCCCAGAGTGACCACCGACATCAAGAAGGGCTTGCGTGGCCTCAGGAGAGGACTCTGCGCCACATCCAAGCTGGCCACCTGCCTGGGTGGATTACAGCTCACCCACACCTACCTCGCCTGGGTGGGTTGTAGCGCACCCGCACCTACCTGGGTGGGTTGTAGCTTGCGAAAGCAATGTGACCTCCGAAGGCCAGAGAGAGGGAGAAGAAAATCTGTGTGGCCGCGTCCAGCCACACCCGGGGATTCTGGAGAGTCTGCATCTGGAACGAGACCGGGAGGCCTGTGCAGCAGGCCCCATCTCCCAGCCCATTCAACTGTTCCAGAACCTTCTCTGCATTCCTTTGGGGCTTTCACACAGCAGAGAACAGATCTCAAGGGGTGCTCAGGGGGCAGGGGCTGGCCCTGCTCCGTGGCCTGAGGCGTGGTGTGGTTCTGTTCTGGGGTCTGTGGCGTGGTGTGGTTCTGTTCTGTGGTCTGTGGCGTGGTGTGGTTCTGTTCTGTGGTCTGAGGCGTGGTGTGGTTCTGTTCTGTGGTTCTTATCTGTGGTGTGGTGGGGGAGCTGGCCCTGTCCTGGGGTCTGTGGCGTGGTGTGGTTCTGTTCTGTGGTCTGTGGCGTGGTGTGGTTCTGTTCTGTGGTTCTTATCTGTGGTGTGGTGGGGGAGCTGGCCCTGCTCCGTGGTCTGAGGCGTGGTGTGGTTCTGTTCTGTGGTCTGAGGCGTGGTGTGGTTCTGTTCTGTGGTTCTTATCTGTGGTGTGGTGGGGGAGCTGGCCCTGCTCCGTGGTCTGTGGCGTGGTGTGGTTCTGTTCTGTGGTCTGTGGCGTGGTGTGGTTCTGTTCTGTGGTCTGTGGCGTGGTGTGGTTCTGTTCTGTGGTTCTTATCTGTGGTGTGGTGGGGGAGCTGGCCCTGCTCCGTGGTCTGTGGCGTGGTGTGGTTCTGTTCTGTGGTCTGTGGCGTGGTGTGGTTCTGTTCTGTGGTCTGTGGCGTGGTGTGGTTCTGTTCTGTGGTTCTTATCTGTGGTGTGGTGGGGGAGCTGGCCCGTCCTGGGGTCTGTGGCATGATGTGTTTGGTCTGTGGCGTGGTGTGGTGCTGTTCTGCGGTCTGGTGGTGCGGTGTGACCCTGTCTCTGGTGTGCTGACAGGCTTGTGGTCTGCTAGGCCCGCAAGAGGCTGTGCAGCCTGGGCTGAGGCACCGTTTCCAGGCGGAGTGTGGTGGTGTGGAGCGTTCACACACGAGTTGTTGGTTTGGCTGCCACCAGTGACTTGGGCAGACTTGTAGGCTCTGCGGGCCTCTGCGGCGGCCCCCGGGCCTTGGCGCCCTCACACTGGGGTGTGCATGCCCTGGGACCCTGCACAAACTGGGGGGGAGGCCTGGAAGGTGTCCACTGCTGGAGGCAGGCCCGGGGTGAGGGGCAGGCAGGGGTGCCGCCCGTGCCGGAGGAGAGCGGCCCCGGGCTCCCAGGCAGCTTCTTGGCTGTGCCCACGCCCGCTCTCCAGCCTGCCCGGTGAGCGCAGCGACCCCACATCCACAGCGCCTGCATCCACCTGCCCCAGAGCACAGGGCTCCCCCCACCCCCACCCCTGCACAGCCTGGCCGGCCTGGCCTCTACCCATCTGCTCCAGGCAGCGCAGCCATCCTGCGCCAGCCTCCACTCACCTTGGGAGTGAAGAGGTAGGTGAGGCCCTCAGTGGCCCCGGGCAGGGTCAGGCCTCGGATGAGGAAGATGGTCAGGACCAGGTAGGGGAAGCAGGCGGTGAAGTAGATGGCCTGGAGGACACAGGCATTGGCAGCTGTTGCCAGGGGAGCGGGCAGGGGGCAGGTGGGCAGCAGGCCGGCCACACGCAGATGTGTGTGTGTGTGTGTGTGTGAGTGCAGCTGGGTCACACGCAGATGTGTGTGTGTGTGTGAGTGCAGCTGGGTCACACACAGATGTGTGTGTGTGTGTGT